ATGTATAAAGAAAACAAATAACACTAATAAAAATAAACAATGTGGCCAATTTTTCAAACATATAATGTAGTTCAGAGGTCTGCAAATTGTTGCCTGTGGGCCAATCCATCCATGTTCAGTCATTTCTTTACTGTCTATAGCTGCTTTGCCACAACAGAGGCCACATAACCCACTAAGCCGAAAATATTTACTATCTGCTCCTTTACAGAAAAAGTTTGCCAGCCTCTGATTCTAGTTCACTAGTTTTCAGGGTGATCCATGCACCCTTCATGAGACCCTTTGAGGAGATCTGTGAGGTCAGAGCTATTTTCACAGTAATACCAAGACACTGTTTACCATTTTCAGTGTGTTGACATTTGCTCTGCAAGAACATAAAGCAATGGACAAAGAACAAAGCAGTGAGGAGTAAAACAGCTAGTGCTGAGCACATTTCAGGACAATGGCACCAAACTGTATTCATAGTTATAATCTTCACCACCACACATTCACAAGACAGAGGAAGAAAAATAGTCTTCATTTAACTCACTGTTTCTTAGCCTTGGCACTGTCAACATTTTGGGTTAGTGATTCTTAGCTGTAGGATACTTTCTTGTGCATTGTAGAATCTCTGGCCTCCACCTCCTAGATTCTGCCAGCCCCCCCCCCCTCCCAGTTATGACAACCAAAAATGTTGCTAGACAGTCTCCATATGTTCTCTGGGGACAAAATCACTTATTCTCTGTCTGGTCCCCACTCCTTCACTCTAAGAAGTGCTAATTTAGTTTGATGAAAAAATACAAATAATTAATTTTCTTAAATCTGAACCTTGGATACACATCTTAAAATTCTGTGTGGCTACATGAAAACTATCCACTGGCCAGTATTTCTACTGCATATGAAATACAGAAGTACAGTATTATCTTACAAAAAAAACACTTGTGTCTTTGGCTCTCAGCTAAGGTAACCACTTTTTTCATAGAATAGTTTTCACTTGAAAGAATTATTAACCTATGATTATTAGATTTTGGCTATTTGGTAGACACTATCTAGAAAATGAATGAAGTGAGCCTTCCACCTCAAGCAAAACTACTGATAGTACCATACTATAATCAACCTTAGATATCCATGAGGACTGGTTCTAAGATCCCTGTGGATACCAAAATCTGTAGATATTCAATTCCTTTATATAAAATGGTGTAGTATTTGCAAATAACTGGCACACATCCTCCTGTATACTTTAACTACCTCTAGAATACTTACAATACCTAACCTAAAACAATGTAAATGCTATATAAAAATTGTTATATTGTTTGTAGAATGACAAGAAAAACGTACATATGTTTCCGTGTTAATAGGGAGGATTGGAGGCATTGAAGGGAGGGCAGGGGAATAGGGAAAAAAATAAGAACCAAGATATATCATGTAAAGGTACAAATTCCCAATTAGGAATGTTATCATATTGTATACCTAACATGTACCAATAAACTTAATGAATTAAAAAAAGTGCACATGTGCAATACAGGTAAAGTTTTCCTTCAATATATGTGTGTGTGTATATATATATGTATACACACACACACACACACACACACACACACATATATATGCAATTGGTACCAGGGATCAAACTGGGGACCTTGCACTTGCGAGGCAGGCGCCAGAACCACTGAGCTAAATCCCCCACCCTACTTCAATATTTTTGAACCTCAGTTTGATGAAGCCATGGATACTGTGTGTGTGTGTGTGTGTGTGTGTGTGTGTGTATAACACAGATTGTATTGGTTGCCAATATTAAAATTTGAGCATGGAGTGAAAATTAGAATTTTAGAAAGTTTGTATGTCCCACTCTACAGATGACAGTTTCTCAGTACTTAAAGAGTTTCCTGATGAGTGGTGATATGATATAAAAGAATGTGATGTTTTTAATGTTATATAATGAAATGCATCGACATTTGGAAGATATGCCTAACTAAAAGTAGCCAAAAGACCAATGCTTAATGTTACAAAATCATACACAGGTAAAAAGATCAAAAACAAACAAGAATTTATTCCTGTGGTCTTTATTTTTCAGTTGTCTAATATTGTTGTCCTTTAATTAATAATTTCTCTTCAATTAGCTGCCCAGTTTATGGAAGCACAAACCTCTGTTCCACACACTCATGAGTATTGTATCATAGCAGAGCTCAAAAACCAACTTAATCTATTGACTAGTAGATGTATCCCACATCCCCAAGAGCTGTGTGCCAGTGCAATTTTACATGAAATAAATCTTTGAAGATCAAGTATTAAATACTAGGAAACTCTACTACTTCAATTTGTTCTGTAGTTAATATTTCTTGTAAAGCAGGTAATTCCTTTGCAACTACATACTTCATTTGTAATGGCATATTTTGGCACATAAGGCTTACACAGATGAGACATACACACACAGGTGTACAATCTATAGGCTCAGTTCTGTGCCAGTTTAATGAATGATGAATGAGAAGAAGTCTGTTTAAGAGACTTGACTGGCACGTGTAACCATTAGAGAATTGTAAGTGAAAGGGGAATTGTGAGTACCTTAAAGGCAAAAACATTCCCGTATTCATCTTTGTCATTTAGAGTCTAACACAGGCATGCTATAAGCATGCAATACCTATTTGGTGATGGAATAAAAGCTTGAGTAAGCCAGTGATTAAATGCAATCAAGCACAGGCAAGGTAATGAAAATTCAGACAGAAGGGGTCACTAGGGACAGCTTCAGGAAGGAAACAGCAATTGTACCTTGATGGAAATTAAAGATTCAGATGCTGGAACAAAAAGTAACAGGGAATTTTGAATAGAAGTGTAACTTAGATCTATGCATCTATTCATTGGAATGATTTTGAGCACCAACCTCCAATATATATTGATTTATAATTATATACAGTATATTCTACTGCACTAATAGGAAATTTTTACATAGACACAAAAGTAATATTTTAAAAGAAATTATTCTGATGGGCTTTCCTTTGTATGTGATTTGTTTCTTTTCTCTAACTGCTTGTAGAACTTTGTTTTTATGTTGAGTTTCTGGAATCTTAACAATTATATGCCTATGTGTAGAT